CCCGCCCGCGCCCTCACCCCCCCCCCGGCGGGGGGGGGCCAAACGGCTGTCTTCGCCCGCCTGGCTCGCTGCGGCCGCTCCTTGCGCGGGTCAGCTCGGCCCGGGCATCAACGGGGCAGAAGCTGGGCGCGCCCGGGCCCCCCTTGCCGCCCGGCCTCCTGGCTTCCTTCCCCAGCCCGGTGCTGGCGAGCTCGCCCTTCCCAGGCCTCGCTTGCAAAGCAGAAGGAGCTGCCTCGTCGTCTGGGAGGGAGCAGCTTCCCCTGCCGGCTTTCCTCCGGCGCGACGTGGGATGACAGAGCGCAGCGCTGGGGTTCACCCGCAGCTCGCCGAAGCCGCCGGCTCCACTGGGCTGGGCTTTGTAAACAGGGTTTATGGCTTCGGCAGATACACCGTGCGTTAAGCAAGCTGTGGCTTAACGCACAGTGTGACCCCCGTCACCAGCTGGGGGTCGTGCCAGCTGCCAACCTGAGATCTAGGCTGCAAAAATAGGAGATGACGGGAGTAGCCAAGAGTTCGGCTTCTTTCTCTGGGCTGCCCTCCAGTTGTCATCTGGAATTTTGCAGGCCAGCTATGGGGGCTCTAATTAAGCCCAAAGCAAAACAAATCATATTGTGGATTAGCCCGATGTGTCATTTCAACGTCTTGATGTTCTGGGGATTTGATTTCATTTATTTAGAAAATGTCTATGGCTGCCCCTCTTCCGCATGAACTCTGCAGTAACCCAGAGACCGGGTAACTCCACTGCGTGCCACGCACCCTAACCCTGTAGCCCAGCACCTGGAGGAAAATAAGAACTTAATGATAACAACCAGACCCTTTACAGCCTTTCAGAATGTGATGTTTTGTAAAAGCAGCGATCTCTTAGGACAGCTGGTTCCGTTCCCTTGGCTTTGACTTAAGCATACTGAGTGAACCAAACCAGTGTCATTTGTAAACCACAGCTTATGGTCTAGTGCCTTAAATGAACCTGGCCAACTATAGTTTATTCAGAGTCTAACCATTGCTTAGTCACAGGCTGTGAACAGCCACAGTGCTTTCTTTGCACTGTAAGCCGCAGCCTTCCCTATTGTTAGCAAACAGCAGATGTTTGATTTCTGCAACTCGTCCGTCTCTCTCGTGAATGAATTTTCCATGGGAAGCAAAATCACTGGAATGGAAGACAAAATCTGGGCTGCCTTGTGAAATTTCATGAAGGAATCAGGGCAATTGCACAATGAAATAATTGCCTGGGAGCATCTGGGAAACTGATGCAATACAGCTGTTGTTGTTTCACAGCTGAGTGAGGCTGGCTCCAAGTCTGGGACTTAAATGCCTGAAATCCTGAAGGGGAGCTAATGAGGAGAAAGCCACAAAGCACACAGAGGAATCGCTGTGGTTTGCATTGTAAAACCCCAGTTTTCCAGGACCATGTCAATGAAGCTTTGCACTTGGCTGGCCTGTTCTTCTTCAGCTTTGGGAACCAAGATGACACCTTTGCCAGAGTCACTTTTATTCAAACTGCATTACTTTTATTCCAAGATAATAACAAAGGTTTGTTTTTTTGTGAAGTCATCAGACAAGGTTGTAGACTGCAACAAGGACTTTCCTGGAACTAATAGAACTATATTCTGGACCTTCAGAAGGTGGGCCAGCAAAATACCGATTCCTTCAGAAAGCGGTGTCTCAATCCAGAAGAACCCTGGGAAGAGAGAAAAATATAAATAAGGACTCAAGAGTTACTTTCGAGTCATGGATGCCGTTCTCCCATTGTATAGCATGGGCATTGGTAATATTGATTGGTTACATCTAAATACGATGAAGCCCTCAAACTGAGCTCAGTCTTCTAAGTTTTCTTAGCAGGGTTATGGCAACATTTTGCTATTGCATTCTTCCTGAATGTTTTTTTCTACTTTTCAGTCACCCAGAAGCACATGGGGCCCCAAGGGGCTCTCCCAATCCCCACCAGTTTTTACCTGTGCAACAAACCTGTGAGGGAGATTAGGCTGAAAAAGAGCAACAGGCTAGATGTGGATTTGAACCTGGCTCTCAGGTCCTAATCTAACCATTCAAGTGGCAGTTGCTTCTTTATTTATGCATTGATTTGGTCTGGAGGATACTTGCTGAAGATACGGTAACTGCACAGATGCAGCATTTTTAAGCCCAATCAGTTCATCAAAGTGGCCACATTTCCCAAACGGTGGAACATTTGTTGCTAAAGATAGTTTACGGCTCTTCCAGAAGCGCCTGTGGATATTAGGGATGTTTGTGGGAAAGAAGCTCATCTTCCCCCCCACAACATTTACTGCTTCAACATCAAGGATGCTCAAATGTTTCTTTAGCTGCTCCTGAATGATTGTTTGAGTGGGGCAGAAATTCCCCATTTTAGCAATCTGAGTACTGCAACATCCTTCTTCTGATCAACAGGAACCAGCTAGTCTGGATGATTTCTTGGAAAAAGAAAGACGAAATGGTGGGCCAACACTGCAAGTTTCTTCTGTTAGGGTAGAGCGGTGTTTTGCAAATGTGGCAACTTTAAGATATGTGGACTTCAGCTCCCAAAATTCCCCAGCCAGCCACACATCTTAAAGTTGCAAGTCTGAAAAACACTGATGTAGAGGTGGGCAGATTTCAAGAGTTTTGATCTTCGGTGATTTGTAGCGATGATTGTTTTTTATCTGAAGCCGGAGATTTGCTAGGAGCTAAAAAGGCATACACTCGAAGACAAGATGTCCAGTTTGTTTTGATCACTCAGAGTCAACCATTACGAGCTTGCCATTTCCCCCCACAGAAATCGACTTCTTGTTAACTGCTAATATTTCAGCTACTTTAAATCATTTTGAGGCCCAGGTTCTGCTCACCCCACTGGGCTGGAATGAGCATAAAGACTTCTGTTTGCTGATATCCCCTGCTTTATTCAGAGAAAAGTTCCATCCCCGTGACTATATCATGACCAACTAACAATCCAAGTGAAATGGGAAGACCCAAATTCAGGGGGCTAATCTAGTGAAGACAATGTTTGACATTTTTTGTTGACTGAATCCTGTCCAAACCACACAGTGCTGAAAGTCAGGAATTGTTCCAAGTAAAATTTAAAAATGGTGTCACTTTGGCTGAAGAAAATACGATCCGTGCTGTGGAAGGAAAGCCTTTTCAAAAAGCATTTCAAGAAAGGGTGGGTATTTGGAAAGATTTGGCAATATCTACAATGGAGGAATGGTTGGTGAAGATGATAGAACTTGCTGAGATGGCTAAATTGACTTGTTTGATTAGAGAAAAGACAATATCTAAGTTTATTGCTGACTGGAAACCCCTTATGGACTTTTTGTGTAAAACAGAAAAAAATGGTTTATGGTTTGGACAATTAGGGTAGATTATAGAAAGAAGAGAGTCATGATATCACTTTAGAGAAGGAGGCAAATTTATCATTGTACTTATAACGGTCTTTATATCTTTTTTCTTTCTTTTCTATTTTTTTTCTTTTTCTTTCTTTCTTTCTTACGCTTTTAGCTCTCTCTCTGATTTCTTCTTTCTTTTTTCTTCCTCACTCTGTATTAGTTTGTCTTAGGTTTTATCTTTGTTTTTAAAACTTTCAATAAAATTATATATTTAAAAAAAAAGAAGGGTGGATGTTGTTGTTTTACTTATTTTAAACCTATTACTGATGTGTAATAGCACAGAAAGCATTTAGGCCAACCATGACGCTTGAGTTACCCAGGTTCCTTGTACCCTTGTTGACACTGGAGATGTTATGTCTGTCTCCCGTTCTGGAATCTTTAGAGATATATTTTCAAACCAGCTTTCAACTGAGTGTTCCTTCCTCTTGGATATCTTGTGCTATATAAATCTGGCCACTGAAAAAGCCAGCTTGGTGAACGCTTCCCCCTTTATTTTCTGAAGACGTCTGACTTCTTGCACAATGATATGGTATAATTGAGGAAGGTCAAGCCAGGGCATCTTGAAACAGCTGAGTTATTACATGTCCAACTTGGAAAAACATCTGTGTTTTGGTGCAACGGAAGACTCCAGCAGGGAGTGGAGTGACACCATTAGAACAGACTCTGGGGCATAGTCCAGACCTTAGTCAGCAGAGTAGGTAGGAGTTCTCGCAAGTGAAGCAAGACTTCCTTGCTACATTTTGCAGCAAATGAAGACATAGCACATTGCTCTCCAAAGCAACTTTCTCCAATCTGTTATCCTTTAAATGCTCTGGGACTGGACACCTTCCAAAGGCCATAGTGGTTAGGAGAACTGCAAGTTAGGGAAAGCTGATATAAATTGTTGGCTGTTTCTTCAAGACTTTAAAAGAATTTAATTAAACCTATTGTGCAAATGAGTGATACTGAATTCTTCATTTTCTAAAAACTTCGCTTAACTTGTAGAACCTCACCCTCCTTCCAAGACTGGATCCAATTACAGTTCACAGAATTCCCCATAAGTGATTTTTCACAATACAACCCACTTACGTGGCACAGCAAAGAAGGAACATGATCACAAAGACAACTGGAAAAGCGTATAGTGCTCCTCTAGGGAAAGAGTGATAGACATGCGCCCAGAGATCATCGAGGTATTCTGACAACCAGGACCGGCGAACACCTACAGAGTCAACCGAAAAGATCCCTCAGCATCTAAGACAGAATTGGACCGGGCCCCACAAAACCATCACATTTTTCTTCCTGCTATGTGAAGAATTGAGGATAAACCACTGGCTACATAACTTCTGTTTATAGAAGGCTGTTCTTGCCTTGTTTCTAAATCTTCTAATGTAGAAGCAGGGGAAAGATCCAGGGGACAAATCATTGTGATGGAAAGAGAAAACATGAAATGGGTGGGGATGAAAAGATCTTATTAATTATACTTAATTGATTGAATATAGCTTTTATTACATTTAAATTGGTGTTTTTCAAACGTGGCAACTAAGATGTGTGGACTTCAACTCCCAGAGTGCTGGCGAGAGAATTCTGGGAGTTGCAGTCCACGCATCTTAAAGTTGTCAAATTTGAAAAACACTTTGATTTAAATTAAATCAAGTTTAGCCTTGTACTGGTTCCCAGCTACTTGGGGGAGTGTGACCTGCCCTCACCTACCAGCATAGTAATCATTTTCATGTTTACTCTAAATCATTTTCTCTGCAGATCCTGAGATGTTTTGTTTAAACTTTGACCAACTGAGTGCTAGAAACATGATGGTTGGCTTACTAGATGTGCTAAACAATTTCCTTTTCCTTATTAAAGATGTTAAAGATGTTTAAGAATATTCCTGCCTTTTATAAACATGAACTTTTTGCAGAGCAAAAGGGTTCCCACTCATCTCTTGCCATTATCATAATGCTCAATATTCTTTTCAGTATGTAGGAATGTATTTATTGCACTTGTATACTGCTGAATCCAGAACAACCTGTAACGGTAGTTTATTATATCTCAGTCATATTAAATATATAGATTTATATTTAGAATCAGCAACTCTTTGTCTAGCTCCTTCAAGAGGCAGCTGAGGAGGGGGGAG